CTTAACAGGGAATAATTTTTGAAAAATATGTTACTCATTAAGATTACGAGATAATTAATTAGCCAATACCTTCATCATCATTCTGCCAACATTTCCCAGCTGTATGACCGGAGTGAATATAGGTCTCATCTAAGTAGACTACAGGTAGTTTATCTGTATCTTCATTATGTTTTAAAGTCTGAAATAAAATTGTGTTATAGTTAGTTTGCAAATTACTTGACAGTTTTATTAATGATTGCATTAATTTTGAATAGTGTCGATGTTACATTTCCTATATTTCCTGTAACATTGATACAAAATTAGGAGTACACTTAAACCTGCAGATAACGAGCACGCCAAGCAGTTATATCATTACGTTCCATCAGGACCTTTCTGTTGCTTTCAGTTTTTCTGAATCGAAAACCAATCATTTTTATATGTTGCCTGAGAATTTCTCGACTGCCGGCAAATCCAATCTCTTCTTTAAGTACTTGCAGCAACTTATTCACTGTTGGTATTTCTTTTTTAGAAACATAAAATTCATGGATCTTTCGTCTAAGAACACCCAAATCAAAATTGTCCATTAAAATTTTATCTTTTCTTGTTTTTCTAATTTTCCCTGGAGTAATTATTTTACTAGATGATGCACTATATATCGGGCACTATGTATGGTATCACTTACCTGTTGCAGCTGAGACACGCTCATTTACCCTTTCAAATGGAATAATCGGGGCACTAGATTGCTTTTCTTTCATAAAATACTCCTTCACTTTTAAAATCACCTCTCTAACACCACTCCTTATCACATTTGGCATTATTTATGAAGGTTTTTATTAAATTATAAGCACGAATAAACCGCAACAAACACCAACTTCAGCTATCTGTCAAAAGTGACGCTTTGCAAGATGGCGGCGTTAGTTCCGAAATCGGCCACGTGCCAAATAAGCCTTGTAGCACTATAACTTATCTATGAAAACGTCTTTGATAGACAGATGTCTTAATATTAGAAAAATAATCTTTTTGCCGTAAAAAATGATTGTTAGAGAATATATTGATTTTGTTAAGAAAACGCTGTTTGTTTGTGAATTATTAAACATTAAAGTGATTAAGAAGAATAGCGTGTTTTTTGTGTCATCAACGACTTTACGACATTCACGTTATAAATGGCTACCCAACGTTCGGCTCGAACAATCTATTTGTTGTGAAAATATATTACGATACTGCGCCTCCTTCACAAAACGGATGATACTTGTGTTCTAACGTTTGTTCAGCGTTTTTCCGAGTTCACAAGACTCGACGCGACGTTTATGTATCACCTTTATATCTACTAGTGAGGTGCTCAACATTTTGTTAGGTATCGTTTTACATATTGAACTGTTTTACAAATTGAACAAAATATTTGTGAGTTGACTAGTAGTGTGTTTCTGAAAAACCCAATATGGTGCTACATGCTCAGGTTCTGGCGAAAACGGCGGTCAACAGATGCCATTAACAGAAAATATCACAGCGCACACATTGGATTCTGGCCTGGCCCACATGTCGCCGGATACCTCACCTTCGCCTGTTGCGGGCGCAAGCGGCTCCGCCACATCTTCAGTGCAGTCTCAAGCCACACCAATGATCATGACTGACCAACAGCTGAGTTACCTTTTACAGTCTTTGCGAACTCCACAAATGTTCACTCCAACACTATCAAATTTTGCAAACTGTACAGCTCGTTTTGATGGGTCCGGTAATGTTGAACCCTTTATTGATTCCATCACTATTTATAAACAGTGTGTGAACATGCAAGATAATATTGCATTACAAGGCTTGCCAATGCTACTTACTGGTTTTGCTGCCACATGGTACCAAGGCATCAAACACACTGTTAATTCATGGCAGGAGGCTCTTGTGATTATGAAACAAATGTTCGGAGCACATTTTCCACCCCATAAAATATATAGAAAAATATTTGAAAGAGTGCAAGGAGAGGAGAATACAGATGTATTTGTGTGCAAAACTCAGAGCTCTGTTTGCACAACTACCCTCAAATTCTTTGTCTGTAGAGGTACAGTTGGATATGTGTTATGGTTTGTTACATAGACGAATCAGAGAGAAGGTCAGCAGAAATTCCTTCAGTACCTTTGAACAATTGTTGGAATCCACTCGCCGAGTTGAAGACTTGCTAGAGGAGACATATCCAAGTGTTAAGAGGCCATCTTCTGATGTGTACAGATTAAACCCTAACAGTGATTTAAAGACTACTTCTCCGGCTATTTCGGTAACAAAATCTTCCACCAATGAAGCATCCTCCCCTTCGGTTGCTGTCTATGAAAGAAAATTCCGTCCCCGCTGCATATATTGTAAACAATATGGACATAGGCGAGAACAGTGCCGCAAATTATTAGGAAAGGAGGATGTCCAGAAGCTATCACAGAGCAAAGCGGTCTCATATGATCACAGCACTATTGTATGCTTTGGATGTGGTACGCCAGGAGTTATCAGGTCTAACTGCACCAAATGTAAAAGTAAGGGTGAGTCAACATCGACTACAGAATTTCAGTCTATACAATTATGTAGTACTTTGGTTGATGCTCGTCCCGGACCATTATTAAAGATAAGTATTCATAGTATTACTGGTCATGTTTTAATTGACACAGGAGCTAAAATGTCTATTGCTAGCGAAAGCCTCAATAACGTATTAGTTAAAAATAATCACCGAATGACCAATTCTATTGTAGAAATGAAATTAGCTGATGGCTCTATTTGTAAACAAAATGTCAGAATATGTACTGTAAATGTTACTGTATGTGGAATTGTTGTCCCTACTGTTTTTATTGTATTACCTGGAGCCACTGATACATTATTAGGTATGAATTTTATATGTGATGCGGGCATGGTGCTTGATCTTAAATTTAATCGGTTTTCATTAAAGTCCAATAAAGATGTGTACTAACCTTTAGAGTTGGAAGGCAGCAAAGACAGTCTGGGCTGTTCAGTCGCAGGGCCACGTGATGACGAGGGTACCACACTATCCCTTTCGGACGACAGAAACTTTCTGTAGTATTAGTGGAAAACGCCGACATCTTTGCACCAGGGGGAGCACCCACCTCGTTCGCAGTACATCGCATCGATACTGGAGACAGCGCACCAGTGGCTGTACCTCCTTATAGATTAACCCCTGCCAAGAAAGAGATTATGGGCAATGAAATTAATAAGATGCTGGAACAGGAGGTTATAGAAGAGGCTGAATCTGAATGGGCGTCGCCAGTAGTTTTAGTTCCCAAGAAGAATGGGGAGATGCGCTTCTGCGTTGATTACCGAAAGCTCAACGCCGTCACCCGGACAGACAAGTACCCCCTCCCGGTTATAGATGACCTCCTGTTTTCAACCAAGACTAATTGTGTGATGTCTACCTTAGATTTAAGGGCAGGCTACTGGCAGGTAATTGTTGCGCCAGAAGATCGCCCCAAAACAGCGTTCACCACACCCTTCGGAACGTTTCAATTTCGTCGGATGCCGTTTGGCTTAAAGAACAGTCCGTCGACGTTCCAGCGCCTTATGGATAGGTTCAGATCCGGGCTCAAGGACGTGTGCTGCGTGGCATATTTAGATTACATTTTGGTTGTGTCTGACTGCCTCGAATCCCACGTGCAGGACCTACGAAAGGTCTTTGAGAGATTACGTCTTTTTGGTCTTAGGGCGAACCGAGATAAATGTCAATTTGCTCGAGATAAAATAACCTATTTAGGTCATGTTATATCTCCACAGGGTATCCAGGCTGATCCCGACAAAGTAAAGGTTATACGGCAGATGGCGCCACCACACAACCTAAAAGAAATAAAATCGTTTTTACAAACCTGTTCCTGGTTTAGGAAGTTTATCCCTAGGTTTGCCGATGTAGCACGACCTCTTACCATGCTTACGCGAAAGAACGTCCCCTGGAGTTGGAGTGGACCTCAGAATGAAGCGTTTGCTGCCCTTAAAGAGAAACTCACCTCTGCTCCAATCCTTCGTCAGCCTGATTTCGCGGTTCCATTCGTCATGCGTACTGATGCCAGCGCCTTTGCTTTGGGCGCAGCCTTGATGCAAGGATCTGATGTTCATAATGAACGGCCAATTGAGTATGCCAGTCGATTATTGACTTCAGCGGAACTAAATTACTCCACCACCGAGCGCGAAGCATTAGCGGTTATTTGGGCGTTAAACAAGTTCAGGGGATATGTGGAGGGTTCCCCGATTAAGGTTGTTACCGATCATCAACCCTTGCGGTGGTTGATGTCCCTCAAAACACCCAGCGGTCGTTTAGCACGGTGGGCAATGAAGGTACAATCTTACAATATCGATTGGGAATACACACCGGGAAAATGTAATGTTGTCGCCGACACACTTAGCCGTCTGCCTCTCCCAGCGTTCAACGAGAAGGACGTGGAATGTAAAGCGTGCCCAATCTCAATAGATTTACCTCATAAGGGGCCGGAGGAAATCCGGGTTGCTCAACTTGAAGATCCTGACGTAGTGAAGATTTTTAAAGATTTTGAGAGTAATAATGAGTTTACCAGGTGGACTGATCGTGGATACTACGTATCTCAAGGAGTTTTATACCGAACCGATCCAGATAGCGACTCTGATGAGCCACAGTTAGTCGTCCCAGATTCCATGAAGGAAGAATTACTCAAGGAACTTCATGATGCCCCAACTGCCGGCCATCTTGGTGTAGAGAGAACGCTCAAGAAAATTAAAGAAAGATATTTTTTCCCGCAAATGCGTCAGTATGTCACCCAATATTTGAAATCTTGTGATCTGTGTCAAGCATTCAAACCTAGTAATTTAAAACCCGCTGGATTGTTACAAACCCCAATTATGCATCAGAGATTCGAAGTTTTGGCCATGGACCTTTTTGGGCCTCTTCCTCAAGGCAGTGACGGCGAAAAATGAATCTTCCTGGTCGAAGATGTAGCCACTTCCTGGTCAGAGATGGGTAGAACTGTTTACTCTCGTAGATGCTACTGCTGAAAAGTGTGCTAAGACCCTAGTCGATGAAGTCTTTTGAACGGTACGGCTTGCCACGTCGGGTGATATCGGATAACGGGTCCCAATTTGTCTCAGCTGTAATGCAGAAAGTAATGCTCGCTTTAGGGATTACTCAAAATTTGACACCAGTATATCATCCCCAAGCAAACCCTGCTGAACGTAAGAACCGGGATATGAAATCTATGCTGGCAATTTTAGTTAATACTGATCATCAGGATTGGCCCAAGCACATCCCAGCGGTGCGATTTGCCCTTAATACCGCAACTAATCAGACCACAGGCCATACTGCTGCCTATTTAGCTTTTGCCCGTGAGTTGCGTTCCCCTATAAATATAATAAATGACATCCGTACCGTTACAGAAAAGGAGAACTTTGTTCCCCAAATTACCTCATACTTACGGGATTTTGTAGATTCATTCCAAGAAATACGTTAGAGACAAGAGCACCAGCAAGATCTGAGGAAAGACGCAGCGGATCGGAGTCGTCGCGATGGACCATTGTATTGTGAAGGCGATCTGGTGCTTGTCGCGAATAATGCACTCAGCCAAGCTTCCAAAGGTTTAACTAAAAAGTTCTTTCCACGTCGCATAGGTCCTTTTAAAATCAAAAGGGTTATCCCTTCAGCTGTCGAACGCAATAATCGCGATGATGCGTTATCTGTCGCCCCCCCTATCGTAAGACAGGGAGGGAGCAGCATGACGGCACTCGGTGTCTTTAAAATCATATTTCTCGAGATTATTGTATGAAGCATATATAAAATTTGTTTAACTATTTAATCTTAAAGATATTTACTTGCTATTTATTGATATTTTGAACCAATCATCGCAACAAATAACCTTTGTTTTTTTGTAACGTAATCGAGCATGTGCAAACTTACCTCTGGTCCAAAATCAAAAGTTTCACCCACAATCAAAAGTTTAACACTTCACAGACTACATATCTGGTAATAATTATCTCACCCTTCAATAATTTCCTAGGAAATTTATCACAATTTTAACTTAAACTTCCACAATTAAACGCAAAAGACGCGGCAGTGTTGACGACGAACCGTCGACTAACTTCATATGTAAATATTTTTGGTTTTGGCTATGGAATACTACGTCAATCTTTAAACAAACCGTTAGGTTGGTTCTTCAATATTATTTTGAGCTCTAACCCAAGAAGCTTAAGTCCAATTTATTAATAATTCACTTATGTGAAGTTCCCAACCTTCCCAACTAGCCGTCTGGCGGTTAGTACACAGATCTGTACATTTTTTTTTTCACCGTCTGACTGAGGCTCGACAGCTGAGGGGTTGTCTGCCTCTACTTATGAAGTGGAGGATAATGAGGGTAACTTTAAAGGGAAATACCATACAAATCTCCTCACACCATATATAGGTGATTCTGATTTAACAACTATGACTAAGAAAGGTAGGCCGCGGCTTAGGTCCAAGTCACCCCCGGGGCGGGTTGGTGACTTGGAGGGGGAGGATGAAGCACCACGTTCTGTAATGTCGAGGTACGGCCAATCTATTCGTGTGCCGCGCCGTTACACTTAACTTATCTATGAAAACGTCTTTGATAGACAGATGTCTTAATAATAATAGAAAAATAATCTCTTTGCCGTAAAAAATGATTGTTAGAGAATATGTTGATTTTGTTAAGAAAACGCTGTTTGTTTGTGAATTATAAAACATTAAAGTGATTAAGAAAAATAGCGTGTTTTTTGTGTCATCAACGACTTTACGACATTCACGTTATAATGTGAATACAGGTATTGTATTATGATATAATTTATGTCAGTATAAGTGTAATTTGTGTAAAAAGTTAGTTTATTTATAGTGTCACACAAACGGACCTTGCCAACTTTAACTAGTAACTAGGGTATTCTTTGTATGTCCCACGTAACGGACATTGCCATTTAGTCCTACTTGAAAGTATCTCTATGATTGTCACATAAAACGGGCGTTGCCAATAAGTTGTCACTTCATATTTTTTACATTTTTATTATTATTTTCAGGAACATGGCTTTGCGATCAAAGAAAATCTTATCGCTTATACTTCCCGCGGATTCGGAAGATTCAAACGTTGAGTCTGATGATGATTTGGAAGACAACCTTCAACGAGTTGAATATTATCATACTAATAACAGTGATTCATCTTCGCCACATACCAAATCTCCGGCATTATATGACATATTGGCTGATATCAGTGACAGTGAAGACATAAATAATAAGGATTATAACAACACCCACGAAAAATATATTGCTGTAGAACAGCTACCAGAGACACTGCAAGATGAATCATCTCCACCGGTAGGTTTTCAGCTCCAGTATCCTGTTACATACCAGAAACACCTTCACCAAATATTGCTGCATCACCGTCTTCCAGTTTTTCTAGACCTAAACTATTGTCAAACATGGTAACGCGTCGAACCAGACATACCGCAATCATAGACACGTCACCTAAGCTCCCAACAGCGACAGCTACACCTGTGGCTAAGAAGAAACGCCAGAAAAAACGATTGAATTTTCACTTTAAAAAAATTAAATATACCGGATCCGTACATACGTCAGACTCCACCAACTTCAAGGAATGTCACAACATTCTTGGCTCTAAGCAATATTTTCAAAAACTTTTCACCGATGAGTTGTTGTTTTTTGTTTTTATAATTTTAATACAATTTTGAGATTTTATTTTAAGCTTGAAGTTTTCAAGATGTTTTGTTGATTTCTTTAATTTTTATGTATTATCTTAAGAGGTAATATTTTAAAAGGCTGATTCTAGAATGTTCCTCATTATAATTTGTTGTTTATTACTAGTTATTATGTTAATAATATCAATTGTACGTGATATATTATGTTGCTACCATAACTGCAGAAATAATGGGCAGTGTCCGTTTTATGTGACGTACTATCACCCACTTTAAATGCACATAAAATCGGCAATGTCCGTTTTATGTGACATTAAAAAAAACAATAAAAATTAAAAATATTTTGAATTTTTTTTTATTTACTTCTTTTCTATCCCAATTCCAACCTAAATCCGAAATTTGAGCACAAAATACCCAAGGAATCTAAGGGTGACAATTTTTAATTTCACCAAATGCCTGCTCATTTATGAACGGCAATTTTATTATCAGACCGTTTCTTTATTAAAGAAGGTAGCCGTGTTGTTGTTATTATTAAGGACAGAAAACTATAAATAAACCATAAAAAGATTATAATTTTAATTTTTTAAGCATGTAACTGCTTCTTTAGATATAAATCACACTCCCAAGCTAGCTGGAAATCTGGAGCCTTTGGAACTGCGCAGGGATTTTGGTTGCCCGTATGTATTTTTCAGGCTCTTTCATGGTGAGTAATCGGAGGAATTGGTTCAGTAAATACCCATTTTACTGCACCAATTTACCACCGCACCGACTGACGCGACCGGAGTCGTGGGTGAAGACGACTCCGGCCGCGTCAGTCGGTGCGGTATTACTTGGATACACTGCAGTCCACAACTGTCCGTTTCCAGAGATCTTTTATTCCACTGGCAATAAAATTGTGGGCTCCCTTGCACCCTTGCACGGTATTTACTCAGTATTATAACATGGTCCGCTTCAAGAGAGGCTGAAATAGAGTGACCCACGAAAGGCAGCGGTATGGCTGTGTCACTGGCAGTGCTCATGTCCATGGGCGACAGTGACCACTTAACATCAGGTAGCCCGTCATCTCGTCTTCCTTCGAAGGCAATAATAATAAAAAAGGTATGCCTACCTGGACACTTATCAGAAGGTAAGTAAATAAGCATTCTTAATTTTTTGCTGCAGATGCTTATATTTGGTACCATGTTTAAATATTATATAAGTAGAGTAGTATGTATATAGATGCTTTTATTAATGTGTCTATATAATATCAGTCTCATAGGTATGCAGTTCAGCTTATGTCGCTTTGATACGGACAACTTTACCACCAGATACAGTGGCATAAGCGCTATCCGGTGTAGACACTAGTCCGTTGATGCAGCTTCCAAGGACCACTTCTCCAGCTGGTTCCAAAACGTCGATAGCTATCTTGTATCTTCGGATAGTCCCATCCCAACCACCGGTCCAAACGTAGTCACCACAAACTGACATACTAGTGACAATCATGTCGCTTACCTGGATCAAATTAAAAAAAATCTATTAAAGAAAACGATTACCCTCATAATTATGAACAGAACTTGCAGTATTACGTAACATGACAAGACAAACGCCCCTTGCCAGAGCACAACTTAGGTACTCATTTGTGATCAACAAATGGTCCCACCCAGGGTCAACTACTAAATAATTCTATCGCCATCTCTGATAAATCATTCAATATCAAATCAATGAATTCGTAAAAACTAAACAGTTATGATTTAGCATAATCACTCTTAAGTGTTTATCTTTCCATTTGCTTTGCACCTAAAGCTGGACCTATCCAAATTAGTACAATCCTATATAAATATCGTATTTACTTGCACGAAAGCGGCCCAAAAATATCTACTGCATATAGTACACACGCGTCGCTACACAAGCACACTTTGACTGCTTTTAAACAATATAACATTAGAGTCACGCACACATTGCGTGTAACTTGAGCCGTTTTCTTTGCGTGTTTTATTTGGATTGCTATATCTAGGCGTGTATACAATGTACTTTTTAAAATGATTTATTATGACTGGGTCTCTCTTACTTTGATTTCTTGCAGTTGTTTGAAAGAAGTGGCGACGGAAGCGTCGTGAAGCCGCATGTTATTGCCGCCGCGGGCCATCACCACAAGGCGCGTGCCCGCAACGCGCAGCGGCGCGCGTCCTTCCATTGTGTGACGCGTGACAAACCGGGTCTTTGACTCATCTGCACATAATCACACATATCGCACGCTTAATCGGAGAGCTGTTTAATTTTAAAACTCACGAGACATTAAACAATCGGGACCCATTATTGAAAAATTTATCCATTCTTAAATATGTAATGTGTCCCGACTGTTAAAGTAGCTGCAGAATACAGGCGAATTATGAATTATGAATCTCTATGAAATAGATTCCGAACGCGGCGACATGCCGCGGCTGCACAATGTATATAATGCACGGTCAGCCGCAGTGTCGCCTGCGGTTGTCCCCTGCAGCCCATTGCGGAATTGTACACTTTACTTAACAGAATTATAGACTATTGGACTTGTTTTTTTCTTTTCAGTTTTTTATTTGAAGTAATATTTAAGCAGACGGTTTTTGATTTTTTAAAAATTTACCTTTTTTACTTAGGACAACGTTGAGTTGCGAACAATCACAGCTCTAACATCATTTTGAATACCTACGCTATAAGTCGAATTTTAAAGTATGGTGTTGCTGACGCCCCATATTGATATTTTCATGTTAATATAATATATAGAACACGGGCGTAGCCAGCCAATCAAATGAACCTTCTGTTTCTTTTTAGGGTACCGTACCTCAAAAGGAAAAAACGGAACCCGTATAGGATCACTTTGTTGTCCGTCCGCCCGTCTGTCCGTCTGTCAAGACCATTTTTCTCAGGAACGCGTGGAGGTATGAAACTAAAATTCCGTTAGAGCTGTGAAAAAAATCAAACTTCTAAGCCAAAGCAATCAAAAGATACAGCCGTTTATGCCGCAAAATTTCTGCAAATTTTCGAAACTCGCACGGGAATCAAAACCTACCTTAGAATTTTGAAATTTGGTACAAAATAACGTCTAATAGTACAGATAAAGGAAAAATGGCGAAAACCGTAAATTTTTAGTTACATCATATTATTATATCATCATGGACGCGTAGAGGTATTTAATTGAGTTGTACGGAACCCTCGGTGCGTAAGTCCGACTCGCACTTGGCCGTTTTTTTTAAATATTTCATATTTTATTTTCTTGCCCCCCCCCCCCATACTTAAACCTTGCTACGCCCGTGATTATAGAATAATATAGATGGTGTTAACACAAGCTTTTTGTCTGTTTGGCTTAAGCGTGCCAAATGTTGAATAAAATCGTATTGAAATATGCTTCTGTACGATAATATACAAACTGTCTGCTTGCAGTGTGATAGCTATAAAGTGTAATAGTTAGCTATACGCATTCCCAAATGTGTAAACAAATCATTCGTCAGGTTCATGGATATAGGATTTCAATTAAATGAATTGGCAACTTGCAATTAAGCATGATCCGCTTGATGGTTAGCAGCCGCCAGGCTATACATAGATGTTTGCGATAACGTGAAGACTAAAGATTCGCGCGTTTACCCACCCACTAGCAGGTGCCCTAGAGTTCGTCTGCTAAGAAAAAATGGTTTCCCATAGAAACTTCGATCTCCTTTTTCAACTCCTCAAAGGATGATTTAAAAAAAATTGCAAAAAATGTCATATAGGTACGAGAACTTATCACACTAGTATTATAAAGGCGAAAGTGTGTATTTTTGTTACTTATTCACGTCTAAACGGCTGGAGCGATTTTAATAAAATTTGGTATGGAGTTAGCTGACACACTGGATTAACACATAGGCTACGTTTTACTGCGGGAAAATATCCCTAATAAACCGCGAATAACACCGCGGGCACAGCTAGTTGAAAATAATTAAAATACTTATTATATATTTTAAACGGTTATTGTAGCGCGCTTACCAGGCTTAATTTCTGTGACAGTGACATCAAGATCCCTTACTGTAAACATATATGGTGGACTAAGCCATAAGTCTTTTACTTCCTCCAAAACATTGTATCTTGCCTTTTCTACGTTGTCTTCATAGACGAGTACCTGCATATATGTATAAAGATTAAAAACAACATTTTGTGTATGTTTTACTTGGTACTTCCAACAGAGAAATTCTATAGCTAATTAGGCACATCAGAATATAACCCACGTTAGAAGGAATGGTTCATACCCAATGCAAATCAAAATCACGTTCATTATTTTGTATATACTTAGATACTATAGTTTTTTTACGCGGTACCCATCCAATGACCGACCATTGCGAAAGTAGTTTAACTTCCACGATCGCAATTCGAACTCGTTAACCATCTGTGCTACCAAGCTTCTCAAAATATTGGGTAGGTACTCAGGGTAAGGACTAACCTACTTATTTATAAAAAGATAAAAGATATACTTACATTGCCGCTTTCGTCTCCAGCATAAAGACATTTATCAAATACACGCAGCACGCCGACGTCCTCCTCTGCAGTAGTAAGTTCCGCCTGTTTCTCGCCCTCTGCAGACCACACCCTGATGCCAGCATCGTTAGAAGACGTATAGACCTTGCCATGAATCGCTGCAATTGCAAATAGTTGGACTCCGTGCGCAGGCCATGACACGCCGGGTGAAAGGTTGGCATCAAATGTCTGAAGTGGTTAAATAAATTATTTTTACGTCGTGTGTATGTTTAACCAAGCAATTAAATCAAAACATTTAGAAAGGATGCTAAGTTAATGAAGTAACCATTTATTAAAGTTCATTGCTATATTATACATTTAAAAAACATTTAAAGCTTCATGATAAATAACTTGTAGTAATAATAAGATTACTTAAGGGTAGAAAGTAAGCCAACTGTTTCGACTCGACTCAGATCAACTATAGCAGATTTAGAATTAAAAAATAGTGAAACAACTTTGTTTTAAATTAGTCAAAAAAGTCTCTTGCTGGGTTTGGAAATTCAGCAGTATGTTGAAAATTTTGGTTGTATTGAGTTTCGATTTTGTAGGGCAAAAATGCAAAAAAAGTATTTCGTTCTAGAAAAACTCTAATATTCCAGAAAAACTAACAGATGCTTCAGACAGTGTGTAAACAAAAACAAACGAATTGCGATACTTACTCTTACAAATCCATCTGCTGTTCCAACAAATAATTTGTTATCCCAAGCGACCACGCAAGGCTCAGTGTCTAATTTAGCTTCACCTTCGATTTTTAGGGCCATAGCGGTTATTTGGTTTAGTGGTTTTAATTACGTTTAATTAAGATACGTCTTTTCCTGGCGCTACGTTGGCGAAAACTAAGAGCTGAAGAGTGCCGAGGGAGTCCAGGGACAAAAATAAACGCGGAGGCGTCCGATGAACTTTGAAAGGTGTTTATAGAACTGCTCTAGACTAATCTAGATGCATTGTCTGTGTTGTAAATACCAATCTCCTGTAACGTCTTTACATGTACTCGGTGATTGACAGAGATGCAAATGCGGATATAGTTACATCACGGGTTGTTGTATTTATAGAAGAGATTATATTAGCTCCTTTTTGAATAATCTTTTTATATCTTTTTTTAATGGTCAGTGCATCCGCCCGAATAGCGGAGGGTGCGCGTTCTAGTCCCGTCTGCTGTCGGAATTTTCTTTAGATTTAAACATCCAGCAATAAAATGGTTAAAAAATAACACTGCAATTGCTATTTGTTCTTCAAAAAGTTTAATATTTGTAAAGGTATTCATTTGACAGTTTGAATTACCTACAATGCGAAGAAATGGCGCTGCCTTGCAGCCTAAGATAGAAAATTCCCTAAAATATGGTTGAGCGAAGCGATGGCTGGTTCATGCGTCATGCTCGTGAACGGGTGCTGCCAGCGGAGATGAGTCTGCCCTAACTTCCTTAATATTGAAGTTAATGTTTAGTCATACGACACACTTAATATAAATAACACTATTTGTTAATAATTATGTAATGAAAGGTGACTTCATGAATCATCTCTGAAGTCATTTTTCAATTTGACGACTCGGTAAATAATAAAACAGGGAGAAAAAAACAGGCCTTGCTGAGTTTCAAGCCGGTTTTTCTCAGTACAAGGTCGCCCGCCGTAGATTTACGAACCGATGGCGTAGCTTCTATACATTCATGAATGCTTGTAACAGCCTAAACTGAATAAATGATTTTGATTATTATTGATTACTAGAAGGAATTCGACACGGCCGTTGGGGCCGCGGTAGCTTAATGGTCAGTGTATCCGCCCAGATAGCGGCGGGTGTGGGTTCGATGCCGTCTGCTACCTGGTCCTCATAGATTTTTTTAGATTTAGTCTCTTTAATTAAAAAAAAGACAAGTGCTAGTCGGGCTCGCCTACCGAGGGTTCCGTACGAATTTATAGATACGCAACATAAACGGCCGTCTTTTCAAACGTTAAATTAGAAATGCGATTTTTTTAGAGTTTTAAGGGACCGCACGGCAGTCGTGAGTATAATATAATGGTTTCAATTGTAACTCGAAACCTCCATGCGTTCCCGAAATAAAGGGTATTTACAGACAGACAAATTAATTGGCCGTATCTTTTTTTTACGTTAACTTGGAAGTGAGATTTTTTCACAGTTTCAATGGACACATTGTGAAAAAATCTAGCAGACCTAAGAATATGGTTAAAATTTCAACTTTTTACCTTTACGTGTTCATGAGTTAAAGAGTTTTTACAGACACACGGACAACAAAGTGATCTTACAAGGGTTTCATTTTTTATTTTGAGTTACGGAACCCTAAAAACCGATTAAAGGATGAAAAGTGAGTAAATAGAAATTAACACATCTTTTTAGTGATGTTGTGCTTCTGATAATGATTAAAGTGGGTAAGGTTTCAAGTTTTATGGGGAAGAGGATTAGTTTCAGATCAGCAAGGTGATGAGCTAGTGTTAATGTGTGTGTGTTATTTGCAGTCGTAGCGTACCCACCGATCCACACTTGTTGGGTCATGGCCCAATCTCTACATAGGGAAGGCATGGGCTTAATTGGGGACAATGATAGGCTGACGACTTGTTTTTGTACGGCATTGGCTGATGCTATAAAAACTGTCACAGCTGAATAGGCTTTGCACTTTCTAGGGTTTTTACTTTTATTATCCTTACAAGCGGTCGCCCGCGACTTTGTACGCGTGGAGTTAGTTAGAAATAAAGGTTCACTGCTCGTTCCCCGTAGGTGATAGCGTAATAATATGTAGCCTATATGTTGATCCAACTTCTTAATAATATTCGTGCCAAATTTGAAGTAAATCCATGCAGTACTTTTTGAGTTTATCCCGGACATACATACAGACAAAAAATCTAAAAACTATATTTGTGGCTTCTGTATCGATTGTAGATCACACCCCAAGTATTCTTTTAAAAAAATATTCAATGTACAGTTTTAACTTTCCTACCATTTTATTATAAGTAGATGTATAGATAAGTGACGCGATCCCATTAAGTCTGGGTTAATTTGAATCGTCTTGAAATAAATAAGAAGATAAAGTGGGTTCTAGGCTCTCTTGTAGAAAAATAGGTATATTGATATACTAGTGTGTGCTCGCGTCCTCGACTGTGGAAAAATTTGTTTTTTTATACAATCTTCCACCTACTTTTCAACATCTAAAAGGTTGATCTGGGATCTGAAAAATTATCCTAGCTGCACTTTCCAGGGAATCACACTATTTCTATACCAAATTTTAAGTGAATCGGTCCAGTGCTTTAAATGCGAAGAGGTTACATACAGACACGTATTTCGCATTTATATTTACTCTGGAAGTGTGGATTGCATAAACAGCAGTGACTCAGCAATAGACGACCATTTAACACGAGTTCATCATATAAATTTGCCCCTACCGGGATGCGTACCCGAGACCTCAGAACACGACACCTTGAAAATACATACCACTCTACCATGGAAAATGTCGACAGAATATAAGGATCATTGATATGATAACATTATGTCTAAACATTGTTAACGTAGATTGATATCGTGATTATATAACGTGCATTGCACATTAACATATAAAATAAGCTATTGTAATTTTAAGAGCATCTTCAATAATTATAATTTTGAAATGTGGCTAATGCTATAATAATGAACATAATAGCTATGACTGCGTAACAAACGTAAGGGGTCATACCGACGTGATGAAAATACAAATTATGACTAATCCAATTTGGCGCTGATATACTGCTGCCCAACAATCCGGGTTGAATGAAAGCAAACGTTTAATTATTCTCTAACCGCAGGCGCAGGTTGTTCAAAATAAAGATCTGTATTCGACGCGAGTATTGCCTACCCAACCCAATAACTGTTCTACTGACCTCGTAATACGGAGAAAGGTAGGGCATTGCGGATTTTCCGCTCGAATTGCAGTGCCCGTCTGGGGAAGTAACCTCCAACTTACAGAAGATCACAGAAAAATAGCACTACGTTTTGGTGGTGTTGTATTTCTGTCGGTGAGCTAGGTTCCAGGGCTCCTCAAGGAAAGACGCGGAAGAATCTCTAAACGGGGATCCCGCGGTTTCGCACTAAGCAGCTTAGAAGGTATTCGCAGGGTTTTTAGCGGATATTATGTTGTAAAGCGCCCGTAAGAGTTACGGGGTCCTCAGTGGGCAGCCACTGCGGGAGCTCATAAGGCTTACGGGAGCCAGGTGTGAGGTCCGTTAGCGGTGTGCCTCTTAAAGGCGCCGTCGTCTGTAAATAGAGGTTTTGCCTGCGTCACAAAAAAAAGGGCTCCTCAAGGTAGGGGATTGGGTCATCATCATTGGGTAGGCAACGGCGCAAGTGATATTTTTTGTGTCGCAAGTACGTCTATAGACTATGGTGGCAGGCCATATGCATGTTCGTCACCTATTCAACATTAAAAAATACGATACTACATATATTTAACTGGCTAAAAAAATAGTTCGTGCTAATAATATAGTATGAGAAATAAAACAATGAATCGAAAAGTTTACGCACTACAATCAGTGAAGAGCACGGAAGCACCTAACCTATTGTAAACCAGGTACAACACTCATGTACATATGCTACTTAAGAACGCTCGAGAAAGTGAAAATACTGAATTGCTGACTTATAATAGTGCCGTGGGATACTTTTTTAACAATATCTTGAAGACATATTCCCATACTGTTTACCCGTTACGAAATTATTTAATGAGTAGGTAGTATACCTATACACCATTAAGATCACATCAATGACATTATCATCAATATCAATTAACGATTATGTCGTTATAGGTCAAATACCTTAAATAACATAGTGTTTTCATTTTTTACTTTATTTCCTTAATATTTTAAAGAGTCGGTAATTAAGTTATAGGAAGTTTTCCCTCCTTTGTATATATAAATAAAAATTTCCAAACTCACCAATTAGCCTAGTCCCAAAGTAAGCACTGTAAGGCGTGTGTTATAGGATACTAGGATAACGGATAGAATACATTTACTGTACATAATATAAGTATATTTATATAGAAATACATATTAAACATCTATGACTGGAGTACAAATGCTCGTATTCATCACACAAACATCTTGAGTCGGCTACACCATGAAACCCAGCGTACCAACCACTCGGCCACGGAGGAGTAGGCCCTCAGCACTTTAGTATAACTTGACACACATTGATTATTATTATTTAAATACCTAAATATTATTTCAACTTTCACTATACATTATTAAAGTATGAAAATAAACATATTTTTGCAACACTAATAAGCTGTTATTTGGGTAATAGTATTAGAGCTCGATCAATATAAAAATAGGCACGAAAATTTAAGCTTTCAGACGACGAACTAAGGCAGATTTTCGTGTACCTGTACTTTTTATAGTAGACCATCGATTACATAGGTAAAATACCTTTTTATAAAAAGCTTTGCTAATCAAAACAACTTCATAGCTATGATTTAAACAAAATATTAAAAGAGATAAACAAGGGTCGAACATAGAACTTACCTAAGTAGTTATTACAAGTTTTTATATAACTTGCAGTGTTAATATTTATTAAATATTTATAGAGCAAAAAATATTTTTTTATTAATACTAGCAAAATAATGTACTTATCCGTCATTCATATGTATGAAAAATGAATATTCTGTTTACAAGTAACTTGTAAGTTTCCCTTTTTAGCGGATCACTAATAAACGACCTCTCAGACTTGTTAACAACTTATGCAAGAAAATGTCATGATGCAATTTGATGAATGATTTTCTATCAATAGTGAAAATAACTTAGTTGGATTTTTAAATCAATTTAATATTTAAAAAAATCTTATGGTTTTATTCATATTAATTAATCTTTAATTTAGGTTTAAAGTTAAAAAATAATTAACCCGGTAACATACCACCTTGCTGCTATTTAAAGATTGTGAAAGGGGAATAAATAAAAAGATGTTCTTTCTTGGAAATATCAGGAAATAAAACATTTTGATAGTAAATAGTTTTCACAATAGGAAATCAATCCACAAAACAATGAAAGAAGATGTTCATTTTAAATATAAAAGCTTTATTCGTATAAAAAATAATATATTTACAATAACATTCACATCAATTTGATGCACTTACGTAAAACATAATACGCAGCACAGTTTTGTACAATGCCAGTGTTCGACAACAGAACTAACGACATCTGCCCTCTCGAACAACTCCTAAGTAAACTTTCTGTTATACTAAACGATCTCAAGTTTAAAAATATGGTACATATACATAATGGAAAGTATTTTTAGACTATACATACATTTACATCGTAATTTATGGCCGCCACAGAGTTTGATAAAACTTTATGCAGTCATCAAAATAAGACAAAATATGATTTAATAAATCGATGAGAGCGGTCATATATTGCCAACATATAGATATTTTTTGAAATTTGTCATAACGCTGTTATAAGGTACACCCTAAGAACTAGGTCCTCTTAAGAGGTATAACTGCGAATTTGATCTTGGTAACGGGAGGAAAATACCCATTTTAATATTATGAATGATGAAAGTAAACCTGTCTGTCTGTTACGCTTGCACGCCTTAATCACTAAACGAATTCTGATGATGATTGGTGTAGACTTTAGAAAACTACATAAGCTACTTTTTTCGCTAAAATGATACCAGTGGGGGATGAAAAAGGGCATGAACGTATTTAGAAATTGATTTCATGCTCGAATTTTACGAAATAAACTTCATATAATGTTTGCATTTCACTTGGCTATTTGAATTTGCTATTTGTAAGTTAAAAGCACTGTATCCTTATCGTGCTATATTATTAGGAAATGATAAGGAGAGACTGATGTAAAATTTGTAAATAGCATTATGCAAATATCCATGTGAAGTGCCAGCATCAAAAGCGATAATCGCCAAAAAATTACAGAACACCAACATAAACCTTATTATCAGAGATAAATTAGTTTGGAGCTCTGCAGTTTTTGGCGATGATGGCGTTTTATAGTTTACTGTGTATCACTAATACTCGATTTTCCGTACAAACCTTTTTTTTTTATTCTGTAAAGAGAATAACAAAGATTACACTGTTATTAAATTTAAGTTTAGATTTAGAGAATCGTGTCAGAATCGACACCATTAATAATACGCTATTAATAGATACCAGCAGTGCTATTTTTTAAGAACAATCACCGCAAAAAAGGAGCGATTTGAAAAAGTCATACTAAACTTTTTATACTTAACCACAGTGAAGCTTAGATGAGTGCAAGTGAGTGCAATTTCTTTTGGTATATACTTATGTATATTTTATTTTAGTGTGACGTTGGCAGTTCAATTACTACGCACGATTTATTAATATGAGTTGTGCACGCCTATTCTTATATCTACTTAATAAGATTTTTGGTAGTTTTTTGAGAGGGTCAGGGCCGGATCGAAGGTTCTCAGGGGGCACCATACTCGGAGGAGGGCGCTGGAGCGGGCGCTCCATACTGTGGAGCGGGCTTCGCGGCGGGGTATCCTTCTTGTTTCTGAAACAAATAAGACACATTTTATAAGGATGTAGTGAAGTAATTTATGGACAAACAGTTTATTTTTTCTATTTTTATTTAATAATGAATGTAACAAAATGACGATGGTGATGATGGACAGTGTGGTAGTCAAGTGGTAGGACATAATGTTTAAATGTTGTTTAGGTTTGGATCAAAGGTCCACTTGCAGCATCAAACATTTTGAAATGTTAAATCTAGATTTAAAAACATTAACATTCTTCTATGGGCTAAATCTAAGAAGTCTATCTCTATCTTTAAAAAAAGTAGTTAAGATAAATAAAATTAACAGTCATACTCATTAAGTGGTGAGTTGTCTCTCTTTCTGTGTAATCTCAAAAAATGTGACATGCACAAAGTTTTAATCAAACTTAAATGTTAATTAACTATCTTACTGGTTCGATCGATTTGGGTCATCGATCGTAACTATTGTCAGGACAAGGTTAATACGAAACAAAGAAATTCCACTGTGTTAAGATATTTTTGCATTGAAATCTCAAAAAATTGCATTTGTAAAGTAGCTGCACATACGCGGAGCCGCTAGGAAATAACATAATAAAAAACATATACATGAATATTTTTACCCTTTTTTCGCAATTAGATAAAAATTCTGTCAAGTTTTCAGATAACATCATCGTCACTGACGTCTCAATCTCAACATGCTTTTCGAAGAACGGAGGAGCTCAAGATAGTTAGTTAATTTTTGGTCACCAATCCTATGATCGTAAATAGCAACATTGCTTAACTCCTACGAACGCGGTACCCACTGCATCACGCCGTCGAACTCCTGATGCGCCATCGAGCTCCAAGTTTCGAGTTTTAGATAACAATGGTACATCTATTTAATAAGTAAACAGTCCGAGCATGAAGTTCACATTAAGTTCAGAAATTAGTAAGTAAAAAATGTTCCCACCAAACAAAGGGGCAAAAGTAGTACATAATATAAAAGAATAACAGCTAATGGCATAAAATGTTCATCTGTGTTGCGTTATATCATGTTATTGTGTCCGAACGGTCGGTGGCATCCTTGTTGCGTAATGGTAATGATGATAGCGGGTGTTGCGCTGTGTCAGGTTACAGAGAAACACTTCCCACCTAGCCATAGGAAGGGCTAAGGGCCTTCTACAAAAATAAAATATAACTTAGAAGTTTGATTTTTTCACATATTTTTTCTAGTAGATAATATTTTCTTTAGATTTAAACATCGAGCAGTTATATGCTTAAAAAATTTAAATTATAACTATAATTGCTATTTGCCCTTTCAAATGTTGAATACTTGTAGAGGTATTCATTGGACATTGTGGGTTACCTACAATACGAAAAGATGGCGCTAGCTTGCAGCTTAAGAAAGGCTAGAAAGAATTCGACACGGACATCAGGGCCGCGGTAGCATAATTGGTCAGCGTTCGCGTTGAATTTTTTCTAGTAATATTGTCTTTAGATTTTTCACATCTCCTTTTATGTTTATTATATATTATTTATAGGGTGGCAAACAAGAATATGGCCCGCCTCATGGCAAACGGCCACCATGGCTTGTAGACGCTTGCGATACCAAAAATATCATTCGCGCCGTTGCCTACCCTGACCCAATCCCCTACCCCGTGGAGCCCTGGAACCTTACTCACTGTCAGAAAAACAACACCACCAAAAGGTAGTATTATTTTACTGTGGTATTCTTTAAGGTGGAGGTTACTTCTCCAGACGGGCTCGGCTCTAATTCCTCTGTTAAAAAATATTCCAAGGGACCGTGGACTTGAGTAGGTAGGTATATACCTATAAATATGTTCTATTACTATATAGTACTCGATATATCCACGCGTTTCCGAGATAATTTTCATTTTGAGGTACGGAGCCGTAAGACTGAATCAATATTTCCCTTCGTTACAGTAAAACGACTTCACAGTTTCCATCCAACTTTATAAGGTTTATACGGATAAAAAAAAAGAAAAATTGCTCCAAACTAGTAGCGCGTGGAAGCTACTAAGTAACAATATTTCCAACATTCACAAAAATAAAATTTTAACAAACGGCTACGACTTTTGATCGCGTTCACAGTCTTTTAAATAGGAGGTACTGGAGACATTGTGAAGGGATGTTACCTGAACCTTCCAGTACCTCCTATTTAAAAGACTGACAATTTGAACGCGATCAAAAGACGTGGCCGTTTGTTGAAATTTTTTTTGCTGCCCTAGACGTTCAGCGCTTCATAGAGGGCCCAGGTATGGTTCTACTTCACAAGGGGCATGGTGGCCCCCTTTATGTTAATCTACCGCGCTCGAGTAGCTCCAAAAATCCCCGCTTGGGGTTCCCTGCCATATTTAAAAACAGTCATTAATCAGGAACCAATTCGTAATTCGAAATTAATAGGTTGGGTTCGAAATGCTCCTATTTGTCATTCGAAATTAAAAGGTTGGGTTCGAAATGCTCCTATTTGTCATTCGAACCTAAGACCTCAGAGTAGGCGACATCTTGAAAACCGGCGTGCATACCACTATACCACAGTAGAGTTCTCGATCTGTGACTTATTTTATTTGATTTGTCTACAATTTTATCCATAGCGATATAATCTTTTTACCAAGCCATTTTTAAGTGCATTTTCTTATTTTATTTTATTTGTCTACAATTTTATCAATAGCGATAAAACCTTTGTATTAAGCCATTTTAAGTGCATTTTCTAAATACATTGTTTGCAGGTAATTAACAGCGCATTTTCTGTACCACATTAAAAAAAATGCCTGTGATCTTAGATAGGGCACGAACCTGCACCTTTTCTCTATCGAGACCTCACGATAATATAACTTTGTTTTATAAATTGGTACCTATCACAGGTTCTACATTTATTATTTAAATGCTTTTGTGATACCAATTAACATTTCATAAACGGCTCTATTACCACATGTTTATGTGGCGGCACGTTCGTACCGTATCTACCCTGACCCGTCTCGATTCTTCCAATGCATAACCGACAGTTATCTGTGATGTAATAATTATCCGTTCACTTCGACGTTACAATAATATCTATCTATTTTTTATTGTAAATAGCAAAATGTACACATATCTATTCTTCAACAACAACGCACCGGCCTGTTATTAAATCGCCAATTAAGTAAAGTCAACGTATACTTACTATGCTTTGTATACGTACTAATTAGATGAAGATTTAGTATAAATTTAATTGTTGTTAGGTAGTAATTGTTTGTAGTGTCTGTTATTACTTGATATTAAATTTTTATTGTGAAATGTTTATGTGCTCTATTTTTTAAACCTACATCTTTTTTCACAGTATTTAAGTAGAGATACATACCTGTGTCTTGTATCTGATGAAGTACACTTCTGGTTTAGCAGGTTGCGTCGGGGCTGGTGTCGGTATGACAATATCCGGCTGGTCCTCAGGTTTCTTGACCAGCACGTACACCAAGGTCTTCTCCTCATTCTGGGGTTGCACTGGGATTATGGGGGCGGTTGGGGTCGGTGGAGTCGGAGCCTTGATGAAGACGATCTTGTAATGTTTCTGTGGGGGCGGTACGTGGATAGGCTTAGGGGGAGCTTGGTACTCGTTGTCCGGAGGTGGCACGTGGACGTACACATGTTTGTGCACAATGGGTTGCTGTTGCGGCGGGCCGTATTGGGGCGCAGGAGCCCCGTAGGAGCTAGAGGGCGCGGAGTACGAGGGTGCCGGGGCTCCGTACGAACTCGGAGGCTCCGGCCGCGCTACCACACAGGCGACCAACGCCGACACCACCAAAGACCTCAGCACCTGTACACACAAACACAACGCAGACGCTTTTAAAATTTTCTTCACCCTAAACAAAGTGTGTGTGTGAAAAGTTTATCATTAAATATTTAACACGTATATTTCCATTTTCACTGACTTTTAAAATGACACAGAATCACTTTTATCACTGGTCACTCGAACCTACCGTTTTGTCACACATCTTTAGCACACGATTAACTGCAGCCTTAGACCGTGTAGTGTCAAGTGACCAGGCACCACCAGTGTTTATAAGAGATGTTCGCTCCATATCAGGGGGAGGGGTACTTTCGATGGTTCACATGCATTACGCAATGCGATGGTGTGCCCGCGCAGCCGTCGCTGAGGCGCCGCGCCGCGCCGCTCTGCCTGCCGCCCTACCACCGCCAACGACGATACTTGAGGGCAGAGACAAAAATAAAAACGATAAATTGGAACGAAGATCGACATTCAATTGTTTATATTTTAGACATGGATTATGTTTAATGACTTGATTTTCCCTTATATTTTTGAAGCAGGCCGGCCGTCTGCTACACTGTTCACAGTGACACAGAATATTTTTTTATGTTGGGAATATTTATATATCTTTATTGTCATGAATAAATTTAAACAAATGTGATAACTACTAAAGACGATCATACATAATATTCGTTATAATCCAGTCAATGCACGGAAAAACTTGGCAATTCTGCCAAACTGCAAAAATGTACATCAAATTTTGGATTTGGGTTCTACATACCCTCTTCTTTAAATTTGTTAATGTGCCGAGGATTACTTTTTCCCTATGGATGTATCCCTTATATATGCCCTTCTCGGGGATGAATCTTTTTGGAGTTTACTCCTTAAGAATAGATTTGCATAGGTATATAAGGGGCCCGGTATGAGAAAAATTTGAGGAGTAAAATCTATCGATGAATGACCTCGTTATGTTTTTGGTGCGCATCCTATGTCACAACATTGACAAACAAAGATGACGGATTGACATTAATATTTTTTTTTTAAATCTGAACTGAATTTAGATATTGTTTCTGATAGAGCAATGGGGACAACGAGGTATGGTACGACCATTGATGCGGTATTTACAAGATTCGTGAACCACGTATCTACGAACGTCCATGTGTCTTATTTTAGTTACCATAAACCACTTGTCACTGTAATTAATAATGCAGACAATGTTGATTTAATTAATATTTAAAAAAATTATAATAGTCTGATAATAATAATTACATAATTTATCAACATTCCTAATGATATATTTATGCACATCTGAAATTGACTATTGTAAAAAGTTTAATGTAAAATATTTCGTCGATTAGTTATAATAAATGTATATGAAATGAATAAATATATATTTATATATTATTTTCATTAATTTGGTAATTTACCCTTTCATACAGTATCAATCTTTTTTAAGTTAAATAAACTCTTTTTGCGTCTGGTTAGACTAGTACAGTCAATCTGTAGGTTGAGGGTTGAAAAAAAAACCTAAAGGGTAAGTCTTGTTTTTTCTGTTGCCAAATGACGTCAGTAAGCCACCTTGGCGATGGGCATGTTCAACTCGTAGGCGTTTTTTTAAAAACTCAAAAAAACCGTCAAAATTTTTTTGAAACGAATTTTTCTTATTTTGTATGCATTTTAGAAACTTTTTTTTTACCATAATTGTAGAGGGCGTTGAGTACTACAATATATGTCAGTGTTGCAATCTCGTACAACAAAAAATGCGCATTGTAGGTGGCGCTGAAGTCTCAAAAAAGTGTTTTTTCACTTTTTCACCCTGAAAATATCATTTTAATGGAAAACTTTAAATGACAAAGTTGTTTCGTACATAATTACCAACAACTTTTGTATAAACAATTTTTTTGTATTACTTACCGTTTTCAAGTTATAAATTGCGCAGGTATGAAAAATCCAATAGAGCGGTTTTGGGCAGTTCAAGTACACATTTGCAGTGCACATTTCAATGTACGTTTTTACTATTTTTTTTTCAATCATGAAAAAAAATAAAAATAAAACTATTTTTTTTCATTTTTTTTTTGTTTTTCAATCATGAAAAAGAATAAAAAATAGTAAAACGTCCATTGAAATGTGCACTGCAAATGTGTACGTGAACTTTATTCAAATTGATTTTTTAAAAGCTCTTTTGAATCGTCCTATATTTTTTCCTACCTCATAGGGACATATTTTAGCTGATGAGAAGAATGGGCGCAAGAAACTCATCAGCATTTAATAGAAGTAACAACATTTACAAAAAAATCATGTGGACAAATAATACAAATCAATACAACGTCCACTCACATTTTGATTGCTGTGTCATACAGTATAGATACATTTTTTTTTATATTAAGTATAATAGATAACATCTAAATAGTAACGAGCATGGCGCATGAACCAGCCATCGCTTCGCTCAACCATATTTTAGGAACCACGACACCACTGCAAAGACTTAAAGAGACTTCAGGCAGTCAGAATGACTTCTCCAACTACATATAAGTACTAATAAATTAACAAAACAAAAAAAATGGTTGCTTGTAAAGTCGGTTTTACGGGCGAAGATTTTACGTGACAACGTCTTTTTCTCGGTAGAATATTTATTGATATGAATATAATTAAATTGCACAATAGGAACAAGGAATTGAATGAAAATAAGAATTGCACAAATTTTAACTATAGAAATATATTTTGTTTACTAAAACATTGTACATGTAAACTTAAACTTAACACGAGAGACTCATCGTAACGTTACCGAGCGTTACACTTTTTCATAAGTGACTCCCAGCCGCAACCTAATTTAAGACGTTGTCACGTCAAAAAAATATATTAGACAGCTTACAGTTTTTTGTAATTACTAAAAGAAAATAATAATAATACACAATGCATTTGTAACAAATGAAAGTTAAGGCTATTATTTCCATGCATCACGATCCTTTAAATAGTCTTCCACTTTGTAATAACCTTTACTCATTAGGGCCTTCTTCACATGTGATTTAAATTTTGTGAGAGGAAGCCTAATCAAATCTTGTGGAATTTTGGTGGATAGTGCAACGCCACTACATAGAAATTAACCCCTCGATTTTTTAAATCTTAAGAATGGAACGGCAAGTTTTTCCTTATTTCTTGTAATAAAATCATGAACATGTACTTCTTTGCAAAAGTGTCATATTTTTTCTTACGAACATGATATTTTCATAGATAAGTATATTGAGATGCGAGCGTTATGATATTAATTTCTTTAAATATTTCTCTACGCGATCCTCGTGGACCTAAATTGTATAAAGCGCGGATAGCTCTCTTTTTTAATATGAAAATATTTTCGATATTAGCAGCTGATCCCCACAACAAAAGGCCGTATGTCATTACACTATGATAGTAGCTAAAGTAAACCAATGTTGCCGTTTCTACATCAGTCAGAAGTCTGATTTTCTTAACCGCAAAAGCTACCGAACTTAGTCTACTTCATATGAGGATCCCATTGTAATCGGGAATCTAAAGTGATGCCCAGAAACTTTGTTGAATCTACTAAAACAACTGGCTCGTTACTTACATTTATAATGATATTGACACTTCTCGTATTAGGTAGGGTGAATTTCACACATTTGGTTTTATTCGAGTATAATTTTAAATTATTTACTGTAAACCAATGTAAAACTTTAGAGAGAGCACTATAAACATCGTCATAACAAATATTCCAAGGTTTAACTATAAACATCAAAGAGGTATCATCAGCAAATAATACTGTGTCACATAAATTCTAGATAAAGTGAGGAAGGTCATTTATGTAGATAAGGAATAGCAATGGGCCTAATATTGACCACTGGAGACGCCCATAGTGATGGGTGCTCCTGCAGACTGTGCCTCATTAATAACAACTTTTTGAGAAAGATAGGACTGTTTGTTTCTTAGGTTTTCACGCACATCACTCATTAAATAAAACTAGTTTTTACGGGTTAATGCACGAAACTTTATTTGTTTATTGACGTTTCGCAGCCTTTTCAGGTCTGCATCGTCAGAATAATGATTTTTTATTTAAAATTGTCGAGCTACCTTCGAAAGACTTATATTGAGCGTAGGACTGTACCAGATATAGTGATATGTCTGGTTTGGACTGGTTTTAATATACTACCTACGTTAAAATTTTCTATTTTGGCGTTTGACGAAGAGGAACCAACTATTAACAAGCTATTACTTTGTAAGTGTTCAATAAAGTGTATTTTAAACCCATCATTTTGTTTGTTTTATTTGATAGGCAATTATTTACTCTGAATGTTTTTTTTTTCATAAAATACTTATTAAGAGATTTTATCATAAAAGACTGTCTGAAAATTTCACCTTTCCACTCTCGAATAAGTTGAAAAGTATTGCCTATTTATAAAAACTTTATAGAACAAATGTTACTTAAAATTAGCGTATCTATACCCTTTCTTATTTTTAATAAAATATTTTTTATACCTGGGTGGCGTCCAGCCCCAGGGTAAAAGCAACCCGCGGCACATTGACAACTTTGAAGTAGAGGGTAAGTAGAATCTACAGCCAGATAGTGGTGCTAAGCGGTGCTGTTTGGTAGGGAATCCCCATTGCATTTCGATTCTCTTCTGTAAAAAAAAAATATGAATTTCTACTCTCACATTCAACTCCACTGTTTTATGAATCCTCCTACTAAAGTTAAATTCGACATGTGGTTTATTTAAGACAAAATCCTTAGTTCTGCTACACTCGAGAGCAATGAATTCGGGTCACATAAAGAATCCTAAAAATCTCGTAAACTAAGAATGCTACCCTAATGAACTAAAATTGTGTTTCATAGACCATTAAATACTCCTTAAATGAAAGTAATAAAATTTATGATCACCACATTTTATTAATAAAAAATGCACAAAGAAAAAAACTGACTGATCTCGCCTTAAAACAAAAATAGGAAACATGACATTTTTGAACAACATTACGATTATCTTTAATTTTAAAACTTTGTATTGCCTCCTCGTGCTTTCATTACTGCGTTTACCCAGTTTGGCATGCTGTACACCAAGTTTCTTATACGATTTTGGGGAATATTCTCCCATTCCCCTGTGAGAGCTATTTTGAGTTCACGAAGCCTAATTGGGAGAGGGTTTCGATGTTTTACGCATCTCTCCATACGAGTAATGTTAACCTCTTGAAGGTAGTCATTCGAATTCAACCTGTATGAGGTCAGGCATTGTCATGCATTAAAATACACACATCAAAAGTGTCTAGGGATCAAGCATTTTTATGCGGATTTCTTGAGATTGAGATGTG